CTGTGCTGTTAAGGACACGGGTTAGACACGCCATACAGCAGAGCCCTCTGTGCTGTTAAGGACACGGGTTAGACACGCCATACAACAGAGCCCTCTATGCTAAGGACATGGGTTAGACACGCCATTCAACAGAGCCCTCTATGTTCCCCAAACCCACTCACAGAAAAGTTAACTCCCCTAGAAGGGGGCAAAACAGACTTGAACAGACTCCTCCCCTCATCTTGGATGCCATATTCTAAACCTAAGTCTTCGGAGGTTATAAAGGATCATAATTGAATTCAAAAGGCAATAAACTACAATACACAGGAAATGTGTTCATGTCCCTATCTCACTGAGAATGTCCATCATCGAATGTTTAAGAATTATCTGCACAAGAAAGTCTCTGTATCCACCGAGTGACAGAAGACAGCTTTGCTCTTACCCCCTTTCAAAATCACAGCTTCCTTTAGTTTTCCTAACTTGGGGGCCCTGTGCAGCCTTCCCCAGGCTGGCCGCAGTCTGCAGGCCCAGCGCTGTCCACTGTGCTCGTGTCCTTGCAGGGTCTGTTTTAGTCATCATTATGCTGCCATTGAAATGAAGGACAGCTGCCCAACATGGGGCGAGATGGGCCTTTGTACGGATTCCCTGGCTGACACGACTGTCACGCTTGCTCCTCTGAAGCCTTTCTGTCCTCTGAGGCGGGAGTGGTGAGCATCCCTCTCCCAAGTCCCTGCGTCCCACCAGGCAAGTCCCTGCTGCCCACACTGTAGGTCCCACACCAGCAGCGGGGGCAGATGTGCTCTGTGGCCATCACAATGTTATTTTAAAACATTCATCAATTGCCAGTATTTCTAAATCACCAGATTTCACTAAGAATTTGTGAATTTTCAGTCTCTCTATAAAAAATCAGAAAATGAATATTGGAAACACATGCACATGGATGCCGGGGGCACCTGCCTCTTTCTGCGGGCACGTGAGCTCTCAGAAGTCATCACGGCCTCCAGGCTGCAGGAAGCCCGAGCTCGCGTGTGGGACGGTCCCCTGGGAGCCCCGACACCAGCGGTGCAGACACCCCGGCTTAGGCATCAACACGTGAATAAAGAGGCTGCCACACAACTTCCAGCTCTGTGGCCGTCTGACGGCAAATACATGACGGACAGAAAGAGGCCATGGACACGGAATGAGTGAGAGTTTGGGGTGACGTGCTCTGCAGCAAGACACAAGGGCTAAAAAGACCCTAAAAAGTGAAGTGCAATGATACAAAGTGATTTCTCCCTCCCACCTGGGCCAACATACGTGTTATAGCAGCAGTTCTCAGCCTGTGGGTCACGACCCACAGGAACTGTATTAAGGGTCATATCATTAGTTAGGTTGAGAACCACCGTGTTAGAGTCTCCATCAGATTTCTGTATTGAGGAGAAAATCTAGAAATGAACAGATCTTTGAACGAGGCCTACTATGCTGATGTGCGCCATGGTCCCTGTCTGTCTGTGAAAATGAGGTCACCTTGGGGAGACAGTCAGTGTGGGGAGGGAGTCGGCTACGCAAGGTCCACTGTATTTATTTTAATGGCTGGATCAACTAAAAGCAGTTACTTAGTTTAGTTTACTACTAGTAGTAGTTTCTGATTGAAAGAATCTGAACCATCTTTTCTTTTAGTAAATTATTGCTGCATGTACATACAGCATGCAAATACCAGCTGTAAAGTGACCAACAGACTGTGGTAACAGCTAACTGTACAAATCAGTCGAGCAGAGTATTTACAGCTGAATGAGAATCGGGTCCAGGTGCGAGAGAGATGACTCTTAAATTCGCTAAGCCAGATCCCAGCAGGTCTGACCTTGAGCAAATCACTCAATTGTTTGATGACTCTATTTGCTCATGTGTACAAATTAAGCTAAGCACACCTCGCCGGGAGAGTGTGACCATCAGGGAAGAGGACATGGTCTGTGCGTCCAGGGTGGCGGGAGACCTGAGCCTGTGCTGCACTAATCAAGCAGCTGACACGCTTCAGCCCAAACAGAACTGCGTCTCCTCATTTCCTTCCCTTCTTTTCCCCACTTGTGACTCAAAGCAGATTTCATCCAGCTATTTATAATGACTAACACGCTGGAAATACAGCAGCAGGCCAGAAGCAAAGTGAAACGCAGCACCAGCACCAGCACCAGCTCTCGCTGAGTGACCGCGGGCGAGGGGCAATCCGGGCTGTGCTCCTCATGCTCACCCAAACCAAACCCACCTGCATGTTCTCTGTGGCATCCCCGAGCAGTCCTCCAAACGTGATGGCATTCGTGACCGTCGCCAGGTAAATGAAGAGAATTGCCGAGAGAGCCTGAATATTTAAAGCATCATAAAAATCACTGGCAAAGAACGGTGCTTTCCTCTTTATGTCCTTGATGAGTCCACCACAGAACCTGGCAGGGAGAGAGCAAATATGTGACCAGATGGGAAAGAACTTACATTTAAACGCTCAAATCAGTGACAAGATACTACTTAACCTCTTAACATGAGACCGGAAAACTGTGAAGGGTACATTTCCTTCTCTCTGTCTCTCCCTCAAGGCCATTGAATTAAGCATCACATTTCCTAAAGACCAGCCAGTTGTCTTTAGATGAGAGCAAACTGTGCAGATAAGTTTAGTCTTTGTCATCTCCTGAGAAACCCCCAAGCATGTGAGCGGCCCCTGCGAGGCCTTCGTGACCTCGCCCTGCATGCTGGACCCTCACTGTGAGCTCCTGCACCCTACAGATGCGCGTGGAGCACGTGTGATGCGCCCGCACTCTGGGTGCCGGGGATGTGATAGGGAATGACACGGGCCAGAGAGCCCTCTCTACCTTCCTGGAGCTTACTTCGGGAGCAGAGGTGAGGGTGGATAGTAAACAGCATAAATAAGGAAAATGCATAAAATTCAAAGGGGAAGGGGTTATGCAATCCTGAAGAGGTGGCTGTAAGTTTAGACAGGTTGCCCAGAACAGGAGAAGGTGACTTTGGGGTAAGGACCTGAAGGAACTCAGGGAGGAAGGCCTGCAGGTGTGTGATGGGGAAGCTGTGAGCCAGCCCAGCCCAGGTCAGCAGCCGGCTGAGTACTCACACATCTGTCTGCTCAACCCCTCAACCAGACCTCACATCCCTGCCTTCCCCATGCCATAGCTTCTGCCAAGAAGGTCCTCTTGTAAAGCTCAGCAGTTCTCTGAAGCTGGACCCTGCACTCAGAGTCTCCATGTCCTCTCTGAGCTCTCACACTATGTGGGGACCGACTGTCTGTCTGGGCATCCACCGACCTCAGCTGCTCTCAGCACTCTGCTTTGGTTTTCTTGGTGTGTTATCAGCTCCTGGCCCACTGCAGACACTCAGTGCACCAGGGGAGGGAGACAGGGAAGAATGAGATACAGTATCCTGAAATATCCTGAAATGAAAAGCTGAGTCCTAGCACGCATGTCTGCAGAAAAAGAAAAGGATATGCCTAACGGAAAACAGTTCATAAAGAACTTTATCCAACAAAGGGAGGAGAGGAGAGGACGTTGTATATTCTCTATTCTTTAGGAATAAAAGAGAAAAAACTTCCCGTTAAATTGGGGGAGAAATGCAAGTGGGTTATCAGAAGAGAAATGACTTCACTCTGGTTGGACCCAGTAACATGTTGAAATGACAGCCCTTTCTGTTTTCAAAAACCCTGCAGTATCTTCACAAAATGAGTACCCCACTTAAAATTTCACTTGACCAAGAATAAAATGAAAAACCTAACAGTAAGAAAGAAAAATTACTGTGAACAGAATCAGCTGAAACAAACTGGGAAACCTGAATCCCCATCTGCCAGCTATGGAGGCAGGGCAGTGGCCTGTGGGTGCTTCTTTCTAAAACCTGTTACTCTTTAAGAAATGCACAGGAAGACAGGAAATGAAGAAAGCCCAGTGGCAGAGGCTGGCCCAGGTGGACACCCATCTGCCATCCCAGCGTGGCCGCAGTCCCACGGCTAGTCCCCTGCCCTGCCACCCTGCCCTCTCCCAGCCCCCTCCGCCTGCACTTCCCTTGAAAGCTCTGAGCATCCCATCTGGAACCAGAACACCGTCCTCCCAGCCCCAGAGCCCCTGTTCGCCTTATTTCCTCACCACACAGACTTATTTGCTTATGGCTTATCTCCTGACACTTGCGTGAGGGTGGTAGGTTCTGCTAATTCACTGCTATGTCCCCAGTGCTGTGATAAACTGGCACATTTGTTGGCTGAAGAAATGGACAAACTAGTGAACACAGTGCAGAGGGAAGGCAGCAGGGACCCAGGTCGCAGGAGAAGGGGGCCTGACCCCAGGGTGATCCGTCCACTAGTTACCGTCCCGTGCGCTGGAGCTCCTCACAGTCCCCGTGTCCGCCACCTCCGTGTCCTCCGTCATGGGGCGTGTCCCCGTTCATCTGGATGTTCTCGCCCCCTGAGTACATGTTCTTTCTATGCAAGACAACAGAGCCCAAAGCATGTTAGCTGGCGGCCTCCGTGGCTGCTCAGCGGCGTCACGCACCGGCCAACGCAGAGAGGAGTGAGGCTACATTTCCTCCTGTGACCCTGAGACAAGTCTGCAGGGGTTTTGTTTAGAGCCAAGATAAAGGATGGACAGGAAAGCCGAACAAACTATGCATCTCCTGAGAGGGAGATTCTTTCACCTGGGAAATAATGGATTTCCACACAACGGCTTCTGCTCAACTATCTCATCCAACTTCTTCCCCTCGTGAATCTACAAAGACTAATCTTCATTAAACAGGTGCTTCCACATACACAGAGAGTCCCAAAACAAACATCCCCTAAGAATGTCTGTGACGCCTTCCCATGTCATAATCTGAGATCCCTAATTTATCGTAACTGAAGAACATTACAGTATGGTACGTGATGTCTACTTTATAGTGTCAAGGAAATGTGAAATCAAGGCACACAAGTGATTCATTTGAGAAAACATGTCCACTTAAGTAGGAACCTGAAAATACTAGGGCAACAGCCCAATTGGACTTTTGTTAAAACAACCTTCTTTTGGGGGGGTACCCCAGCAACTGAAATTCTCAGCTGCCTGATAATTTACCTTTTGTCGGATGATGGAAGGCTCTTAGGAGGCTCTATCCTGATCGCTGGGTCCCATTCTCCAGGAGGAAGGACAATGACTTCGTCTAGGAACTCATCGATGCCAGCAATCAGGTCATGCCTGTCCTTTGCTTTATAGGCAATGTCATGGAACACCTACAGAACAGTAGAGGTGTGCTCACCCGGGGGAGAGCACGGCCTGCCCCACATCACATCAAGCCTGAGGAATGGAATCTACAGCCCACAGTGGCCTCACCACAGCCACACTCTCCTGGGTCCACTACTCAGCCTGCCCCCAGACATGTGAGCATTCAGGTCATCGCTTCAAAAACAGAAGAGGAGGTGTGAAGGGACAGCTATGCTTTTTATGGGTTCTGCTCTGTCAATACCACAAAACAACCTTGCCTTTAGAGCTATGGCCACTGCTGATATAGCAGCTACGTGAGCCAGGTCAAAATGGTTTGGGAAATAGACTGAAGAGTCATTCCCTGAAATAAGAAGGGTTGGGACAAACAGTGGCAGATAATTCAGGAAGGAAAAGTTTAAGCTGAGGGTTAAGATCAAGTTAAGACCCAAACACTATAGTCTTCAAAGACACAAGTCATGTGAGATGTTGAAAAAATAAAACTCTTAGTTACATGGACAGCACATAAATCAAAGGGATTTCAGTAGTGACCACCTGTCTTTGACCAAGGCAGTAACTAGACCCTGTATGGCCTCAGACACTACGTCTCTCATACAGAAGCCCCTCCAAAGAAGGAGGGTCCACAGAGTATCCTTTCTGCCAGTCATTCCTTCCTTCTCACCAAGCTGATGAACTAGAAGTTCTCTACATACAACCTAAGTTTTTCATACTCCCTCAAATTTTCAGTTTTCAGAAGGAGAACTTGTCCAACATCTTTACCTATACCTAATCTTAAAGGCTACTAGATCTGTTCTCCTGGAAAAGAATTACTGAAAACTATTGATTAAGGGATATTAAACAGTCTGGGGTGTGGTCTGACGGGAGGCACTGGATGCCAGCCTTTCCTCTGCAGTGGACGCAGCTGCCCTCTTGTTCTCTCCCACCACAGAGGCTGCAGTGTCAGGGATTTCCCAGCCAACTCTGCAGATCAAGGCCGACACTTCCAACCAAGACATGAGAAACAGGCTATCTGGGAAAACTTCAGAGTATCTGTTAGAAGAGACAGATGTGACGGGCACTGCCCCTCCTTCCTCCTATCTGGAATCAGGTGATAGGACAGGAGCTATGGGCAGGCCACGCTGTTGACCTCAGTGATGGAGAAAACATGCTTCTCTGGACTGTAAAGAAACAGCCTTAGCTCGTGATTTATCAGGAAGCAATTAAGTCAGACCAACCCCAGAGCTATTAACTCCAAACTTCCTATCACACGAGAAAACAAACCCCACACTGTTTAATTCACTGTAAGTCTATCACTTGCAGCCAAAAGCATTCCTAATTGACACATCTCAGGAGGAAGGATTTTAAAGAGAGAGAAATAAATGATAAAAGTACAAAAACAAACATGAGGGAAATACAAGTTCCCTTGAGGTGGAAGCAGCAGAGCTTCAAGGCTCTCGTCCACAGAATAAAGTAAACATCTGAGTAGCCACCACATAAAACTTCAGTAACTTAGAAGAAAGGAACCTGTTCTCCACTAAACATGTGGGAAAAACTATCAAATCAAGGGCAGAAATTAGTGATCCTGGCTGCTAATTGTATTTCTCCTCCTGTGAGGTTAGCTCAGAGGTTGTCACATCTAAAATGCATACAACGAAAGTCATCGTGAGGGGAAGGGGGGTTGTAGTTCCAAAGAGCCTGTACTCCATCATCGGCTGTGATGTCTGCTGGTGCGTTTCAGATGCATGCCGTTCCTTCTCACAAAATAAGTAAACTCTAAATACACGTACCTAAGAAAAATGCACCATCCAACTTACTGTGCATTATTTTACAGAACTCATCATCCCTAAAATAAAGTAGTATATGTACATTTTAATTCCCAGAATGTATCAGACATTGTTAAGAGATAGAGTAAGTTAATGCAATGACTTGAAGTTTTTAAAGAATATTTAATATATGTCAGTTTTAAGAAGTGAAAACATTTAGAAAAAGCAAGGAAAACATGTTTTATTCCAGCACAGACTTTAAATCTAAAATGGAAAGACTGATGGAGCCTCGTCTTATGAGGAAGGCTGGGAACCACACAATTGTAGCTGAGTAAACGGTGACACCAACTCACAGAGTAAAGACAGCCCACGTGGGACCCTCACAGAGCCCGTCCTCCTGCTCCTACCTCATCGGACATCAAGGTAGCAATGGCTCTGCCAATCTCATGGTAGGACTTGGCTTTCCCCTTCGGGCCTAAGAGGATGAACAAGAACCTAATGGAGAAGGGGAGAAGCAGAGGCTGTAACACATGTCATCAACTTAATGCACATAAAACCAAGAAGCATTCATCTCAACTCCTGAGAAGGTCAGGCATAGAGTTCACCTGGAAAATGGGGGTATCTTCATAACATGGGGACACTCTTCCACACTACTGTGAAACCTCAGCCGTTCAGTTTATTTGGAGGCAAAGGAGAATTCAGCACTGACCCTGCAAAGCTCCCTCACTGCTCAGGGAGGTTCATTTTATCCACTCTGGGAGTCACTCAGTCCTTCCTTTCTAACCTTTCTTCTCTCTCTATTTCTAATGACCTCCAGAATTTCTGAAGCAAACCCATTCAGCACAATAATAGAAAGACTTAGTGTGTCCTTACTTCCTCCAGCTTCCCTTGCTCAATATGGGCAGTGACAAATGATCCTCTCCATCCTTTTAAGAAATGGTTCTACCCAGGAGTGGCTGGGAGTCAGCAAAAACCAAGTCTCCACCAATAAACTGCAGGCTGACAGCCAGAGCGAGAGAAGAGAAATGTAAGAGAAATTCAAAACAAAGCCTCATTCACAGGCAGTTACAATTTTTGCAGGGTGCCCCGTTTCCATTTCCAAACATTTGTTCCTCCTTGATACACAGAGTATTGGCTCCATAGCAAATAGATTCTGAAACACGCAATAATGAACTTATCAACACTTAAGTTCACCTTTTATCAAGTTAGAAAGAATCGCTCACTGACCACGGGGCACAGGTGCCCGTCTGCACTGGGGAGCAGGCAGCCTGATAAGTCACTGAGTAGAGAAACAACACAGAAAGTGAGGGGGACAATCCCCACCTTGATCCTGATCATGTCTCCCTAACGGGAGATCCTGAGCACAATAAAAACAAGCCCATCACATCCTTGCACTGCCCTGTAAAGCCTGCAAAGTGTTCCACATTCATCACCTACTGAAATTTCCATTCAATCCCTACAATGAGGACTGGTGTCCCATTCCAATAATGATTAGGGAACCGAGGCTAAAGGTTAATGTACAAGACCAAGGTCTGCACCCAGCAAATGACAGACACAGATAGGGAGGTTCTTATCTCCTGCTGTTTCACCACACAATTCTGCCTAAAATTTCCCACCCAGCTGATAGACCAGGGTTGTGACTCAACAGAGAAAAGCTATCCAGCAATGCCTGGTCTACATCACTGCAGGGAAAGAGTCTGGATACATAGCCAGGGACAAGAAATCTCGGGAAAGATTTCATGGAACCAGAAAGGGTTTAGCACCTTTCTTAGCAGAATTTTATTTTTCATTTGTTTTTTGACAAGTACACTACAAAATGTGTCTATTCCAAAATGCCCTTGAATGTATACTTAGCTTCATTCACATAAAATTCAACCCAAAAGAGATAGGAAAAAAAAAACCCAGAAATTAAGGATGTAAAAGTATGTCTGAAAGTGTGAATACTCGGATTTTATGGAGAATTACCATAAACTATTTAGGGCTTATTTGCTGAGAAACCAGCTCTGAGGGCAGTGGCTGCCAGTGCGATCAGAAGCTCGGACGCCTGCTCCAGCATGAAAGGGCCATGCTTAGAGTTAGAGTTTAGTTCTTCTGACACCAAAGGCTCAGTGGATACCAGAACTCTTCTACCTCTGAGCCAGCCCCAAGTTATATACACATGGTATAAAGTGCTTCCTTATGATAGGAAAATAGATTTTTCTAAAGAAAGTAGTCACCCCCCTGAGAGCAGCATGCCTAACAACCCTGAACCACTAAGGCACACTCAAGCCTTATTAAGAAACAGCACACAGGCCAGGCACGGTGGCTTATGCCTGTAATCCCAGCACTTGGAGGCCAAGGCAGGTGGATGGCCTGAGCTCACATGTTTGAGACAAGCCTAAACCACAGTGATACCCTATCTCTAAAAAAATAGCTGCACATTGTGGTGGGCACCTGTAGTCCTAGTTACTTGCGAGGCTGAGGCAAGAGGATCACCTGAACCCAAGAGTTTGAGGTTGCTTGAGCTAAGATGCCACAGAGCTCTACCAAGGGTGACTGAGTGAAACTCTGTCTCAAGAAAAAGAGAAAGAAATAGCACACAGGCCACACTTCCCAGTCTGTCCACCTGTCTGCAGACGGCCAGCTGTCCAGCAGGACAATAAGGGTGTAGCTGTAGGCTAAGTGGGCAGATGATGTGCCCCCTTTGTAGGGAGAACACCTAACACTGGGACCCTTCACTTAGCACACTGTTAAATCAGGGATTTCTCTGGCTTCCAATTTTTGTGGTTTCAGTGTATCTGAATATTAACTTTTCATGTAGCATATCCTAAACTGTCCCAGGACCTCTCCATATCTCTTCCCACCTCTTCCTAGCACCTCCATCCTGACCACAGCTCACAAGCACACATGGGGGAAAGACGTTTATCAACTGACTTGTGAGTTAACTATGAGGTCGGCTACAGCAACAAAGCCAAAATACTTACTTCTTGTTAGTGGGTAAAACACTCAGTCATTAATAATCCTCAAACATAAACTTTGGCAGACAATGGGTAAGCACGCCCGAGTTCAGTGCCTTGAGAAGCGGTGTGCATTTTCTATGACGTGTCAATCACCACTCTCGGGTCTCTGCTCAGCAGCGCCCATGAAGACTGAGGGGGCAGCAGGTTACAGGTGTTGGTTACACAGTGTCATGCTGCACCCCCCACAGGAGAATCACACTGGCCCAGGAACCCAGGTATAAAGGTGTTACTTCTCTTTCCTGGATAATTTTTATTTTTAAAAAAAGATGTTTCTTGATTAACAGACTATCACCAGGTGCCAAAGAAAAGCAACACGGTGACATAGCAGACAGTTAAAATCCTTGCATCACTCCGGTCAGGAGCAATTTGGTAAATCTACTTCCTTAAAATGACATACAGAAGGAAACTGAGGAGCCACAAGCAGCTGGGCATCATCTCAGGTCAGGAATTTCATGGGCAGGAGCAGAGATCCTTGGGAGGGCTCGCACTGTGGAGAGGCCCAGGAAACTGGACACGCAGTCCTGCCCAGTAGGCTGGCACTCCCCTTGCCTGGACCATGTTCTCTCCCCGTAAAGCAGTGAGAGCAGCCGCGACTATTATGACTGAAGCACATTCTGCCAAACTCAGCTTTTACCGAGTATGCTGAAAACTCCTTTTGTGACAGGCTATTTTTTGTCAATGGACAGATGTTATTTTTAACAAGAAGCTTTTTTCTTATTAACAAGTTAGAGTAAATATCATGTTTGTGTGACTGGAAGGGCACAGTGCATGTGGACAGCTCAGGAAAAGGACTTTATGTTGCTGAGTTCAGTTTATTCACTCTTCAACAGAAGCAAGTCAGGGCTAGAATTTTCAATAGTCCCTGGTTATCTCAAGAATCTCTGCAAGGCCCTTTTCTACTTTTGTGAGTTTTCACAGACAGCTGCTTATGCCTGTGGAGGACGCCTCCAGCACTGTCCCCAACAGAAGGGACTACTTACCACATGGGCCACCGTCTGCAGCCAATGGCCTATACTCACATTCACAAAACCATTATTGGCAGAAAAGAGAGAATACCAGGAAAGAAGCCAGGCTTCCAACCCTCGGCTCTCCCGGGAAGGACGCACACCTCCCTCCTTCTTCAGATGGCACAGCTATTTCTAGAATAAACGCAGCATGTGCCAATCCTATACTCCCTTGTCTCAAAACAGCAGCGAAGCAAATAACACATTATTTATCTTCAGCAGCTTTGAAAAATGTGCCTAAACTATAGTTTCCACAGGAGATTCATGAGAACCACAAACCTGTCATGGCCGACCAGATCACATGTTGTAAACAGGAGTCAGCAAATAAACTGGTGAACACAACAAAATTAAACCAGCCGGACTTCATCCCAAGCCCTTTAATAGTTTTTTAAAATATTTTTGATGATTAGGCATAACTACTTCTTTTAGAGAAATAATTAGATACTATATACTAATTTATAGTGCTACCAGAAATGTAAACATGAAAATTCTTTTCTTTTTTTTTTTTTTT